CATTTAAGTTTCCTGCTGCTGTTATTTCAACCTTGTCAGGGTTCATAGAATCGTGGAATATCCTGAGCTGGAAGGGACCCACGAGGATCAGAGTCCAGCCTTGCAGAGACACCCAGGAACGGGGGATGTGTTGCAAATCCATCCACCAGCCCCTCAAGCCACAGGAAAAGAGCTGTGTATCCCATCCCTCTGACTTCATCCCCACAGGAAATTAGGGAGAGGTGCCATTCAGACATGATCCAACCCTTGGGCTCATCCACAGCTGCCCAGGTGGCACACGCAGCCGGACGGAAGGCTCTGCCTCCCCCTCCTCATTCCAGGAGTTCTCCTCGCCCTGGGAGCCTCACCGAGGGTCCAAACCCAGCTGGGCCCAGCGCTGGGATGGGCTCTCTCCAGCTGGCAGGGGATGTGGAAGCTCTCCAAGCTGTACCAGGGAAATCCTGCTGTGGTGGCACAATCGCAGTGCCAGGAGCTGGCACAGCCCCTGCACCAGGGACACGAGGGATGGGGCTCATCCCTGCCCTGGGAACAAAACCAGCTTCAAAGGTCACCTCTGTGACCTGGGAGTTCAATCCTGATTGGAATGACTGACAGAGCAACAGGATCAGGTGTCCAAGGCCAGGTTGGATGGGCATTGGAGCCACCTGGGATAGTGGAAGGGGTCCCTGCCCGTGGAACTGGATGATTTTAGGGTCCCTTCCAACCCAAAGCATTCCATGATTTGATGATTCTGTGACACTGGGGAAAACCCTGCTTTCCCCCAAAGCTCCCAGGACCTTCTACAAACTCCCTTCGTGGTGTAAGAGAGACCTGCAGGGAGAGGGGCACCCCCCTGGCTGCTGGGGCACCACAGCAGGACACCCCGGGCACATTTATTCATTTATTTCAGCTCAGGCCTCCATTTCCCCTTTGGATTTAACCTAAACAAGGTAGATCTACAAAATAAAATCTGCACTTTCCCAGAGTGGATCTCCTGTGTGTCCCTGTGTGAGCTGGGCTGAGCTGAGAGCTGCAGCTGCTGGGGTTGCTCAGCACCCCGAGTGGAGCAGAGGGAACACTCCCAGCCGTGTCACCCCCCCGTGCCAGAGAGGCTCCTGTTCCCTTGGGGAAAGGGCTTCATCTTCTATTCACCTGTCAAGTGCTGAAAGAGCTTCTAAATGCTGCACAGAGGAAAATAACAGCCTCGTGGAATAATCACATTCCATGGCAGTAAAGCTGTATTTTAGAAATTAATGACTCATCGTGGGATTGAGCTCAGCCTGGGGAGTGACTGAAACCCCGAGCTGCTCCTCTGCACGGTGGGTTTTAGCCACCCAGTCAGAGCTGGATTTTCAGGAACTCCATGGATCCTCGCATGTCCCCCCTGGAAGGGATCACACTGCCAGCTACAGCCACCTCCTGCCCCCCAAAACACCGTAACCAAGACCAGGGTCCCAGGGTCACACCCTGAGCTCTCATTTCATGCCAAGGAAAAGGGTTTTAAGACAAAAAAAAAATAGCAAAACTGAAGGAAGAAACCGGATGCACGTTGAAAAGTTCAGTGAGAAATGGTCACTGGAGCTGCCCCCCCCCCCATCAGTGATGAGCAGGGACCACATGCTGGCTCTCCCTGGTTCAGGGACACCTTCCACCAGCACAGATTGTTCCAGCCTGGCCTTGGGCACTCCCAGGGATCCAGGGGCAGCCACAGCTTCTCTGCCCAACCTGTGCCAGGGCCTGCCCACCCTCCCAGCCAGCAATTCCTTCCCAATATCCCATCTAACGCTGCCTTCAGGGTAAGCCACACCTGAGACTTTCCCGTGCTAAGGGGAAGGTTTTTCACACTTGAGAAAGGACAAACAGAGCTCAGACACCCCAAAACCTTCCCAAATCTGAGCCAGAACTACCTTTGCTTGATCAGGCAAAAAGATCTGGGACTGAGATGCCAAAGTTGGTCCTGCCCAGGACACCACAACCCCAACCACCCCCCCCCTACACAAACCCAGCTGGAAACAAAGGTCACAAAACTCTTCCTAAAGATTCCAAACCTTCCCATCAGAGTGTCACCGACCTTTTAAAGTGTTCTTGCAGCCTGAGAGCTGCCCCAAGAATAGAAAATGCTGTTTTCCTTTTCCTCTCAGGATTACACAGGAAAAAAATGCCATTTGAAAAGGGGAAGCACAAGCACTGCCAGAGATGCAGGTGTAACTAAGTCTTAAAAGAAAATTGGCTTTAACTTCAAATATCTCTAAATAAGCAGCAAAAAAAAAAAAAAAAAAAATCCTTCCAGAAATAAACTGCGTGTCTAAATATAATTTACATGAGGTTCAGTGTCCTTGGACTGCACAGGGACACTCAGTGGCTTTGTTTAAAATCTCTGCCACGATTTGGGAAGGATTTCCACCGGTTATTTGGAATCAGGAAGATTTTATCACAAGGCTGACACTGAAGAGACCTCCAAGACCCCGGGAACTGCCAAGGCCACCACAAACCCGCGTCCCCAAGTGCCACATCCACGTGGATTTTAAATCCCTCCAGGAAAGGTGACTCCTTGGGCAGCTGTGCCAGGGCTGGACAGCCCTTTCCATGAAGGAATTTTCCCTAATATCCAACCTACACCTCCCCTGGTTCGTTTTGAGGCTGTTTCCTCTTGTGCTCTCACTTGTTGTTCTCCACAGGTCACTTCAGTTTTCTCAGGGAAATAAATTCCAAAAAAAATCACAGGGAGTACAAGTGATGCTGCCAGAGTTCAAAGGGAAAAGACAACTTGTGTGCAGTCACAGGCCACACAGCAAGGGGTGGAAAGGCAAAATCTTCCCGAAAGCACGACCAGGAATTCTTATGGCAGCGTTCTGTGGAATTGCAAGCACATGTTTGCAGCTGCCCTACTTTGTGTCTTATAATTGACTTCTGTCCCTTCAGGGGCTTCTTCACTATAATTGAGCAGCACCTGCCACGTCAGAGGAACGATTCTGTGCACCCATTCCCTGCTCCAAGGCCACACCGAGCTCCTCCAGCACCAGGGTTGGTCACAGCCTCGGCCGTGTCACCAACCCCCTGGGAACATCCTGTGCTCCAGGTCACCCCAGGGCACGAGGATCTCCCTCCCTGGGCAGCTCTTTGGGGTTTTTAAGCATCGTCCCCTTGATCTGCAGCACCCAGGACACGAGGGGCACCCCCAGATCCTCACGTGGGGTTGGGAGCTCTGTCCTTGTGGACACGCACAGGACTCAGCACTCTTTGCTTCTCACCACGGGGTGCTGGACCAAAAGGCAAACCCAAAAGTTTGGCTCCAAGCATTATTCCCTTCCTAAATTAGACTGAGAGGCCAGAAATTAAGTGTAAGACGATGAAAAGTCAAATAATGAGTTCAAATCCCGGGGAGCAACATCTCTCCTGACACAGAAGGAAACCGAGGATACAATTTCTGTGGGTATTTCGGACTTGGACAAGAAGCTAGTGCTCAATTTTCAGCACATAAAAGCTCTGTGAAAGATTTGAAGTTCTCTGGGACATTTATTGCAGATCTCACGGACAGAACTCCTGTCTGGTTTTAAATCAGCCCCACAGCCAGCGCAGCGTTCCCTGAAGTTCATCCCTGCTGGTGGGACTTCACCTTCCACCTTGGCTGCTGTCAGGGAAAACTTCCCAGTGGGAGGGAAGGACAGGGAAAACATCCCAGCACCTGATTTTTCTGTTACAAATTTGGCAGTGCCCTTCCAGTGTGTAAATCCACCCCCTCAGGGGGGTCAGGAGCAAAGCGGGTCCCCCCTGTCCTCCCAAATCCAACTGACAGAGGCCAGGCTCCCAAAACCCCACGTCACCAAGTGATGTTGATGACTCTCTGCCTAAATCACCAACCCTCCATTTCCACATGGCCCAAAATCCACCTCTGGAAACAACATTCCTACTGAGCTTTCCCGGGACACCCCCCAGGAGGGCCCACGGCATCACCTCCTGGGCATCCCAACACACCCCAAAACTGCCTTTCTGTTCCTTTATCCCTGTTCCAGCTCCCATTTCCACGGCTGAGATCACACTGAGCAGCAGATTCTTGCTGAGACTCTCCCATGTATGTCACCCTGGGAACGGGGACTCTCCGGGCTGGAGCTGCCGAGGAGATGCCACAAAGCCACATCGAACTTCCCCGGGGTGATTAAAACCCCTCTCCCTGACAGACCGACCTCGCAGCTGCCACAGCGCACATGACAAGCGCCCCCAAATCCATCGAGGGCCCAGCTCAGCTCTTCCTGAGCTTCCCTGAATTTCTGCTAAAGTCACCGAGGAATCTGGGATGCAGGTCTGTGCTCTGGGAAATGTTCCACCTCCTCGACTTTTACATCAAATTAATAACATTTCCTCTGAGATGCGTCTTCTAGGTGAGAGTGACGCTTCAGGGAGGCTCGGGGTGTCAGTCTGTGTTTCACTCAGGGCAGGCAGGAGTGGGAGACTGGGAATAGAGATGGAAAAGGGGAACAGGGAAGGGAACAGGGAAGGGAAAGGGGAACTGTTTCCAGGGGGTTTCACGATGGTGCCACCGCTCCTGCAGTGCCAGGGGGAGCACAGGGGGCTGTATAATTAGTCCTGAGGAGCCCCAGCTGAGCTGCCGATGCTCGTGACACCTTTAAAAGATGTTTTTTTTCCCCCCAGAAATCCTAAAGTCAGGAGCTCGCTAAAACCTCCGCTTCCATTCCCTGAGAAGAGGCGCGCCTCTCGCCCTGGGTGCCACAGGGAATAAGCAGAGAACCAGCCCGCGGGGTCAGCCGCAGCCGGGGAAGGCGAGGACAACCCAGGAGTTCATCCCGTTAAACCGCGACTCCAGCCGGGATTCGGGGCCGCGCTCCGGAGCTCCCGGGGGGTCCCAGCTCTGCCCCGAGCCCCAAGTGCCCCCGCACGCGGAGCCGGAGCGGGACCCGGAGCATCCCCGGGCTGCGGCACCGACAACGAGGGTCCTGGCCCCCCCGGGACGGAGCCCCCCCCCCGGCCCCCAGAGCCTCCCCCCGAGCCCCCCGGGCGCTGACCTGGCGCAGGATGAAGCTGGTGGAGGTGGTGCTGCCGTCCGAGCGCTTGAGGCGGCTGCGGCGGGTGGCGGTGCCCCGGGTCACCTGCGGGGGGGACAGAGCATCAAGGTCGCGGCACTGCCACCCCCACCTCCCCCCCGCGGCCACCCCCGGGCCCCCCCGCACCCACCGCGGCCATGGCGCCCCGATCGCCGCTGCCCGGCTCTCCCGGTTATCCCGCTTATCCCGGCTCTCCCGGATCCCGGCCCGGCTCCTCCGCCGCCGGGGCGGAGCCGGTGGGGAGGGGGCGGCGGGCGGGGGCGGCCCCGGGGCGGGGCTGGGAGCGAGAACCCCGGGAGAACATTCCCACAGCCCCGTCCCGGCTCCCGCAGCCCCGTCCCGCATCGCTGCGGCTGCAGGAGCCAGGGCTGGATCCCTCTGCTCTGGAGCCAGGCTGGGAGA